AATGTACGGGATATATATAGTACGTGATATGTGCGAGACACGAGATATATTTATTTGGGGATTATTATACTATAAGATGCAATATTTAATAAACGTTTTACAATACTTAAAATAACGTAAATATCTAAATACATACACGATATGTAGAATAAATAAACCAAATTGCAAATCTGAAAATATAATTAAAAAATCGAAAATATATTTCACTAAACATGTACAAAAATATCTAAATACATACACTAAAAAAAAATTAAATATACATTTCAAATTTCAAATTTAAAACAAAATTTCAAATAATTCAAATAATTTATTTTGAGATTTGTATTTATTAGAAAGTCTGAATCTGAATATATAGAAATCGGTTTGAACAAAATCAGAACATATTTCTATACAATTAGATAATAAAATAAATAATAAATAAAGTCTTTTTTTATTTTAGTAAAGATTTTACGTACTTTTTTTACTTATCGGATGTTATGGGGTTTTTTTTGTTAAAACGATTTTATGTGATATAATACAAATACAATTAGAGGATTGAACAAAATCAGAACAAATTTCCATACAATTAGATAATAAGAAGGAATTAGATAAGGAAAAGAAAGAATCGGATAAAGAATTTTGAATCTGCCTTTTTTTAGTATAGATAGACTTTACGTACAAATTTTGACTTCACCGATTTTATGGGATTTGTTTTGAAAAATCCATGTTAATATGGATTAAGACAAATAAATAAAGCTATTTTTATTTTAGTAAAGATTTTACGTCTTTTTTTTTTACTTATCAGATGTTATGAGATTTTTTTTTTCTTAAACTGATTTATGAGATATAAGACAAATAAATAAAATAATTAAATAAAATTCTGGATAGAAATAGCAATGCATTAATTATGTTAACTTTTCAACCTACTAAATTGGGTCAATAGGATACCTTATTATATAAGTATAGATGCATTTAAATAGCATTACATTACCGTCACAATTTTTAATAAAAATAAAAATTTATGGGTAAAATGTAAAATATATATATATATTTAAGATATGTCAATTTTGAAAGTATTATATTTCATTAAAAAAATATGTTTCTATGCAAATCATGTCCTAATAATGTATACTGCCACTGCAAATGAAAGTGGTGTCGTGTAAGATTTTCTTTGAAAATTTTTAACCGCGCGAACAAAAGATACATAAAGGTGCTAAAATTGGAGGAAAAATAAAATATTTGTTTAGATTGTGATTGGTATAAGTTGGATGTGATGTATAAATAGTAAAATACTTGGTTGTCATTACAAATAGGGTGAACATCAGTCGGTTCGGCCCAAAAACCGAACCGAACCAAAAAACGAAAACCGAAATTGTAATAGCATAGCAAACCAAACCGAATAAGCATTAAAAATCGAACTACAACCGAACTGAAATTATTGGTTCGGTTCGGTTTTGCAAATCGGTTTGGCCACTGCATATTATAAGTCATTGTACATATGATTAAAATCAATTGGGCTTTAATTAAAATCAATTCTGAACCATTATTATACATATGATTTGTCAATTGGACTTTAAATTATGTGGGCATATTTTTTTGTCTATTTGGGCCTATTCATAATAAGTCCAATTCTATTGAAACTTATTAATTACTCAAAAAACTCGGTTTGGTTCGGTTAATCCGAATTTTTACTTTAGGGAATCAAAACGAACCGAATAAACTGTTTTTTTTTTTTTAAATCAAAACGGAACCAAATATGTAACATAAAAACCGAACCGAATAATACTATTCGGTTCGGTTCGGTCGGTTAATTCGGTTTTAACCGATTATTGTTCACCCCTAATTAAAAATACTCGGAAAAATATGTAAGTGAGTGATGAGGAACAACACACTTTGTTTCTAGCCCCGTGATCGAAGACATTGTAAGGGACAAAGCACCGGGGGCGAACAAAATTGGGCCACAGTGGGTGCCGATGTGGTCTCGTGAATTTTCGCTCTAGCTCGTTGCTCAAGCAGTGGAACCATACTGCCCTTACACTCATCTCTAAGTCCACACACTCCTCTCATGTGACGGAATTCAAGCCAATAGCTTGTTGCAACATAATTTACAAATTTGCTTGAAGATCATTGCTCAGAGAATCAGTGCAGTGGTGGACTCCATTATAGACTTAGCACAGGCTGCTTTTGTTAAGGATCAGAATATGTCAGCCAATGCCCCCTATTTTTCGAGTGGTATTTTAGCTACGACATTTGGAGGGTGATTCGTGAATGGGCGAAACTCAACCATTGGCCATTAACACTTAAAGAAGTCCAAAAATGGACAAAAATTGAGGCACGAGGGGTAAGTTGGCATAGCAAGTTGAAGAAGGTTGCACTTGCAGCAATCGTGTACTTTATTTGGAATGTTAGGAACATATTGATCATCTAAAATGAATATCTCAACCCCAATCGTTGTGATTCACAAGATTTAGACTTACGTTTACCCTAAAATTTTTGTTCTATATCCAAATGTGTTTTTCAACTTTAAAAGGAAAGCCCTTGGGGATATGCTAAACATTTTCTTTTTTTTTTTGGGACTTGAGTGAGCATCCATCATTGCGCTCAGGGTCGCGCCCGCGTTGGGCATCGCACCTAGATCACACTCGTGACAGGCATTGCTCCGCAAAAGGACCCTTCATAGCCTTCTGAGGTTGGTGCCTTGGGGAGTGTAGAGTTATAGTGCTCCTAGAATGGTATCTCACTGATGGCTCGGCCCCCCTGAATTGAGGCCTTCTTCGCCATCCCACGAGTTGCATCCCTTTGCGGCCGCGATGCATACGCAGTTGCGTGCCTGCGACTGGTGGCGCCCAAGAATGTCATTGCGCTCGCGACGCACACGTAGACTACGCTCACGACTGGTTGTTTTTGGGACTTGAGTGAACAACCAACATTTTGGTTGTCCTTTACCTTTGTGATCCACGATCGAGGAACTGAGTATTTGGCTACCCGTTTCGCTAATTGTATTGTCGCTCGACGGTTGATGTAATTTCAGTTTTGATCTAAAAATATATTATTCGATAGAAAAAAAAAAGGGGTAGAGAGAGGAATTTCTCACACTTGAGGAAGAAATTCGTCCTTGGTGCCATTCCAAATTCAAGCTCTTTCAGCCTCATTTCCATTGTTTATGGTGACAATTTCTTGTATTCCAAACACACAACCACTATTCCATGTTTATCTAGGTTCATTTTCATCATTTACGGTTGTGACTTGGGGTTTTGCAGTATTTCGAGCTACATTAGTCTGGCAACTCCGAGCCTACTACCTTCGAATTTAAGGGTTTTTTCTGCCGAAAACTTGTATATCGACAACGAATCCTCACTTCCGTGTTCATTCATGGTTGTTTTGCAAAATCATGGGCACGATTTTAACAACATTCATCCTAGCTACAATAATTTGAGCATCTACAGTAATTTATGCAACAAAATTAGGAAAAGATGACAAAGGCTAAGAATAAATTGCTCTTTAGGAGACTAGCACTTGATAATGTCTATGTGCATGACATCCAACAGTCTGATTATGAACAAAGGGAAAGCCAACCAATGTGATTCTTACTCTTCCAAAGTAGCGGTTAATAGGCTGTTCTAGCTAACAATGGGAAAGAGGCTTCCCACAATCACAGCTCCAAGATGCTTGGCAACAAGACTGGTGCACATAAAGGGTCCATGAATGTATCTCCATCAAAATAAACAACCCAAAAGTGCCCTTTTATTAAGCTATTTACCGATAACATGAAGTCGACGAAACTATCTGAAACTCAGGTGCATGGCCCCAGCTGGGGGAAAAGTCAAGTTGGGCAAAAAGGACATTGATGAAGTTATCGAAACTTTGGGCTATTGCCTTATCGAATATTTCACACATAGGCATCCCCGCAAATAAGCTTTGCTCAAGATTTTCAGCTCATGAAAAGTACCCTACGAATACATTCTAGATGTCAATGGATGGATTGTGTTCAGGTTCACGATTGAGGAGGATTGGGACAACGTACTTTATGGGGAACCTTGTAATACTGTTTAGCCATGCTGTTGGAGTGGTGATGGGTGATATTTATATGTTAGAGATATATTTATTTTAATTATTTTTTATCAGGCTATAATAAAGTTACTTTATTATTAATATTTTTTTAAGGATGAAAATGGCAAAAAGAAAAAAGAGACAAAAACGGAAGGCGGTTCAAGCATTGGGACAAAGTCCAATGATTTGCAGTTAAAAACAAGAGTAGGCCCATTGTTGATATGTTGGGCCAGCCCAATATAACCCAACAGAGCACACCATTTTAAATCACAATCTGCATCCCATCAATAATTAGTTGCTAATAAACATTACCCATACAATCATTATTAGTTTCTGAAGAATATTACCCCATACAATCATTACAAAATTTCAATTTCAAATAAAACTAAATATTATTTTATTAAATTCAAGTATAGTGTAATTCTATATTTTACCATTTATTTATTTTAATCACACCATCAAAATTTTGTATCTACCAACAATTTATAGCACAAACAAATTTAAAAGCTCATGCTGTTAAAACTGCAAGGGAATAAATATATCATGCAATCTTGATTGAAAAAAAAAACACACACACACACACACAAACACACACAAAATAAAATAAGAATATTTCCATTTCAATCAACAAATTCAACTAAGTCTCTGTGCTGGGTCAAGAAAGCAAATATACACAAACACAAGAACAAATACAGACATCACAAAATACACAAAGAGGCAATGCACACAAAGACATGAATACCTAATTTTAATTTACCTATTACATTATATTCTATCAAACAAAAACTAAAACATGAAAAACCATTCACCTCAGAAAATCCCGTTCCTTGTTGGATTAAAAAAGGCCGATTTAAATTCCACAGTGTAGGAAAGCTTCAGCCGAGTCTTGAAGGATGAACACGAAGCCGATATAGACAGTAATATTAGGCATCTGAAAAAAGAGAAAAAACGAAAAGGAAAAGAAAATCCCTTCAAACCACAACAGTTTGACCGGTAAACCCATCCTGGAGCTGCAAAGAACCATCTTTCATTAGATTAAGGCTCAAACTCTTGAACCTCTCTCTCGAATACTGTCGAGATGCTTTTCTCCAATCGGTTCCAGTTTTCATCATCGCCACAAACTCATCGTAACTAATTTGACCGTCCTGAAAGAAGCAAATTCATTCTATAATAAGCTTATAGTTTATAATGTGATGGATGATGACAATTAGCAGTCAGATAGGTAGGGAGAATTGCAAAAATGCCCTTGATTTTGAGCCTAACTCCAGAAAAAAACCCAGTCATCTTTCGAAATTAGAAACAAAAATTGCATCTTTTTAAAAGAGGGGTTGATTTGTAATATAAGAAGATAATTGAAACTTTTGTTGGTAATTAAGCAAAACGTAATGGGGGGTATTTTTGTTCGAGTCTACCTTGTCTGTGTCAACTTCCCGCATAATGTCATTAACAACATCAAGATCGGCTTCACCTGATTCATCTTCCAAGGCTTCTCGAAGCTCGTTGAGCTCGATGTACCCGTTTTTGTTTTTGTCGAAGAACGTAAATGCTCTTCGGATATGCTCATCGTTCTCCATCCTCTGCAAGTGGATGGTGACTGCAACAAACTCTCCATAGTCCAAAACTCCATTTCCATCCACATCAGCCTGTTCAATAAATAGTCCATTAGGACTCACAATCATGCTTCTTGATTTTAAATGGATTTTCAATAAAAAAATAAATGAATCATATAGCCAAACCATTTCAGTTTTTATAGGAATCTATGTGATAAGAAATTCCAAAATAACGTGATACAATAAACATAAAAAAAAAATCTGAATAATAAAATGTAGTAGTTATGATAAGTGGAACGTACATTGGAGAAAAAGGAAAAAAGCACAGTAAAAGATGAGTTTTCCCATGGTACCAGCAACTGAGATGAAACATATAATGTAGTAAAATCAGCAAAGAAGTAATTACCACATCCATTAGCAGTTTTATCTCGGGCTCGGCCAGCTGGGAACCCACTTTTCGTAAACCATCCTTTAGTTCTTCATATGTAACTTTCCCGTCATTGTCAGTATCCATTAGTGCAAACATATCTCGAATTACTTCTACCTCTTCCACTGATAGATGTTCTGCTATCACCTGATCAGCAATTCAACGAACCAAAAAAATAGAAATTAGACAACCAAATGGGATATGTATTTTTTTTTTAAGTAAACTGGCAGGGGATCCTAACAATAAACTCAGAAAATATAGAAAAAAAATTACGAGATGCTTACTCGTAGTGCTTTCTTTTTAAATCTATTCATAACAGAAAACTGCTTGAGTCTGGCCCTCACAATATCTCCAAGGGGAACATTTGATGCCTTCTTTGCATTTTGTATCCACGGGTGATCTAAAAGAGGAATGGAGAAAACATGTTATGGCTGCTGTATAAATAAACATGTTTAAGAAGGTCATGGTGTAATATCATTTTATCGAGGAAGGATGTGGTTTAATTAATTATTTTCAATTTCAATTGCTTAGTGTTTTAAAGGCACCCAATGTCCTGACTGTATGCTCAAATGGTTTTCATATTATAGTTTTAGAAAACAAGAACAATTACCCAAATGGGTTGCCGTGAGATAAAGAACACACATAGCAATCCATAAATTCACAGTTCATTGAAAATCCAGAGTTTAAGAAGATTTGTAGAAACAAAAATGAGAATGGAGAAAACAAAGAAAAGAAAAACAATGGTACCGAAAATTAACAGAGAGAAAGTTATTTTGCAATTCTAGTCTGATGATTTCTACCTAGGTTTATTGATTACAGCACCATTCGTCAACTCAAATCTTTTAGAGGTCCAATAGACATGTTTAAGCTTTTACTTTTTAGATGTATAAATAATATACTAGTTAGACCTTTAATTTATAGTTAACACCTTACGCCTCCAAGCATTTTTGGGGATTAAAAGCATATGCCATAGTGTATGGCCCCACGCCGTACACACTCTTTGCAATCGTCTCAAGGCATTTTTCTGCTGTTTTTAAAAAATCCATACCATATAAACAACTTCATCTTCAATAAGACACACATATCGGATCCTCCAACACCACCAAAACTCAATCAAGATCTGAAAACTTATTTATACCTAAAATCAGCATTTGAATGGAGCTTTGTGCAAACATTCCAAATGTCAAAAAGTCTAAAGCTACAATATTACAAAAGTGCAAGAACTTTGCAAGTTTGCATGCCTTGAGGCATCCTTTTCTATCCTCTGCTTGTTGCCCATCATCATTTTGTAAGAAAAAGTAGTCACATGCAGAAATATACTTTTAAATTTTAATCAGTACTTTACAGAGTACATAAAAATAAAGGAAACCTCACCAAGCACTTGCTGGGCTGTCAAACGCCTTTTAGGATCGGGCTCTAACATCTGCCTAACAAGACTTTTTGCACTATCTGAAACTTGAGGCCATGGTTCCCTCTTGAAATCAATTGCTCCCCTTAAAATTGCTAGAGCAACGCCTTGCTCGGTTTCTGAAGCACATTGCAATGGAACATTAACCCGTTTTAATGAAATTGTGAAATACCAATGAGATACAATTCAAGAAGCAAAGGTAAAATCAAAGTAATTTACCAGCCCAGAAGGGAGGAACCCCACATAACAAAATATAAAGAATCACACCGGCGCTCCAAATGTCGACTTCAGGTCCATAGTTTCTTTTCAGAACTTCCGGTGCCATATAGTAAGGACTCCCCACGATCTCAGAAAACCTTTCACCTAATTAGAAAATGTATTTTGATTGGTCAAATGTCAATCATAAATAACCTCACACCCAAAACATAACTAAAAAACTATCTAAAAAGTTGAGTTCAAAGAAAAAGAAGAAAAGCTGGACTATAATCGACTATGAAGGACATTGAAGATAACCAATTTCCAGCTCAAAAAAGGCAAACAGAACCAGCAAGAAGATAAAGGGATACAGTAAAAATACTAACCAAGAACAAGGATTAACAAATAACTTTACAATCCAAATCCCAACGAACAAATTCCACTCACCAGGCTTGAAAAACACTGAGAGCCCAAAATCAATCGCTTTGAGAGCCGAATTCTCCTTCTTGTTCGCAAACAAGAAATTCTCCGGCTTCAAGTCACGATGCATAACCCCGTTATGGTGACACATCCTCACCACCTCCGCCACCGTCTTCGCCACTGCCGCTGCGGCCCTCTCGCTGTAGTGTCCACGCGCCACTATCCTGTCGAAAAGCTCCCCTCCCTCGCACAGCTCCATGACCAAGTGAACAGCCTCGTTGTCCTCGTAGGTGGCCCGCAGCTTCACGACGTTCGGGTGGTCCGGCAGGCTCGCCATGATGGCCACCTCACGGCGGACGTCCTCAACGTCCACCGCCGTGCGGAGCTTCTTCTTGGAGATCGACTTGCAAGCGAGAGCCTCGCGTGTCTCCCGGTCGGTGCAGAGGTACGTCACCCCGAATTCCCCCCGCCCGAGCTCGCGACCGAGGATGTACTTGTCGGAGATTCTCGTCCTGGGGATGAAGTCCTTGAGGACGCGTATCGGAGTCGGGGATTGGGCGTAGGGGTTGGGGTATCGCTCGTGGGGTTTTTTGCGGTGTTTGGGGGTTTGGGGTTTTGAAGCTGGGGCATCGCTTTTCTCCGAAGGCCTTATGCAGGCGTTGCAGTTTCCCATGGTGGAGGGTTTGGCGAATTAGTAAGTGGGTAGCTATGAAAAATTGGATCTTGAGCGGTTGCGCGGCCGTCAGCGGTGGTGGTTGGTGGAGGAGAAAGAGAGCATCTTTGAGGAGAGAGGCAGTTCTGAAAGTGGAAGACGCGGGTCAAGTTCTGGGAGAAAATTTCGGTATTTGAAAAATCAAATAAAAAATTTAAAATAAAAGATAATAAAATAAAATAAAGTCGTTCGTGTATTAAATGATTATTTATTGCATGATGTCATGGAAATAAATATTTTGCATTTTTTTAACTTATTTTAGGAAGTCTTGAAAAGCATGCTCCTGCATTTATATGTAATTTTAAGTAGAATTAATCAAATAAAATTTTATTATCACAAATTTTGTGTTAGGGGGTCTACCCGTTGTTCGGGTGACCCGATATATTATGCTAACCAAAATACGTAAGCATGCTATAAAATGTCATACTTTTGTTAATTTTGTATTTTAAAGTATAATATTTATATGTAAATTGTACATGTTTGCTGAAGAATTATGATTGTCTAACCGTTACATATATCTAACAACCATTTTATTGCTTAATCAAAAAATCTTAGGTCGAGTCGATCAAATCGTTGGGTCATTGACCCCTTATGATTTTTTAAATAAAGAATACATATTTATTCTGTAAAATATGTCTTTCATTGTGATATTCAACTTTATAGTATACATATTTATTAAACAAGTATGACTACTTAATCATTAGATCTTCTAATGAATAGTGGTGTAACATGTAAATTGTAGTCTTATGATATATTTCTAAAATAATGGTGTAAGATAACCTTTAAAGCAATATTTTCTTAGATTGAAAGGTGTTATATAGGTAAATTATAGAGAGCATCTTGTGAGTTGTTTTAATAGAATGGTGTAAGTAAGATAACCTTTAAAACAATATTATGCATTGGAAGGTAGAGAATGGTTGTCAAAAGTCAATAATGTTTATTGCTCAAGTCTTAACTTGTTACATTTTCCACCAGTAGTACTACCGTGTACCCTGGCACACCTAGCTAGGTGTGTCAGGACACATTTTGCACGCGCCCCTCACCCCCCAAAACTAAAAAATTAAGAGAGTGTAGTGCACATTCCTATTTTTTTTTAATTGAAAAATGAGACATATTACATAAATTAAAATATCATTAATTATTTATATTAAAAAAATAAAAATAAAATTAAAATACCAAAATTCATAATTTATTATCTATAAATAGAGACCACATTTGATAGGTTTTTGAACACAACTAATTTTTCGTTTTTTTGTAATTATTTTATTATACTAACATATAATGAACATGTTACATAATAAGATGAATATGTTTTCAAATAAGATGAACATGTTACAGATTGCAGATTGAAATAATACATATTCATCTTATTTTATAACATGTTCATCTTATTCTATAACATATTCATTTTATTATGTATGTAACATGTTCAGCTTATTCTATAACATGTTCATTTTATTATGTAACATGTTCATTTTATTCTATAACATGTTCATTTTATTATGTATGTAACGTGTTCAACTTATTCTATAACATGTTCATTTTATTATGTAACATGTTCATTTTATTCTATAACATGTTCATTTTATTGTGTAACATGTTCATCTTATTTTAGAATATGCTCATCTAAATTTCATCTGTGAAAATAACATTTTCATCTTATTCTATGACATGTTCATCTTACTCTATAACATGTTCATCTTTTTATGTAACATATTAATCTAAGTATAGATTTGCGTCATAATATTCCAATAAGATAAATTAATTGTAAAAAATGATAAATTATTTGTGTTCCAAAAAATATCAAATGTGGTCTCTATTTGTAGAGAATGAAAAATTATGAATTTTGGTATTTTTATTTTTTTTTTTAATACAAAATATGAATGATAATTTAATTTATATAATATGATAAATGAAATTCATTACCCAATAAAAATGGGACACATGTCCCATTTAAAAAAAAATATTTACCTTCTTACATCTCACGCGCCTTTAGAGGAAATGTAATTCACATAAGGCCCTGGCACACCTAGCAAGACCCTGACACACCTAAGTATTTGCCATTTTCCACATAGGAATAGAAGGGGGTGTATTTAGAATTCTTCGTATTTGCCATTTTCCACATAGGAATAGAAGGGGGTGTATTTAGAATTCTTCATAAACCATTATCATGTTTTTGCTTGGAAGCTTATAGTTTACCTCACCCAAAAGTGACACCTACCAAAGACTAGCATCATTGGTTCAAAGACCATATGTTATTAATTATTATCATGATTACACCTATACATAGAGTAATATAAAATTTTATATGGTGCATTTTAGCTACTAACTATATTCATAATTTTAGTCCAACAAACTATATTCAAACTATTATTATTTTGTATGTGTGTGTTTTACACTTTATGATATGTTTAAGTGCAATCTTAATTTAATATATTGCCTACAACATACACTATTGCTCTTAACTGTCATGGCTTCTTTATAGCTTGTCTTAAGTTGTACTACTGGGAAATGCTAAGGTTCCGTCACAAAATCATTCCGTCGGGATTTGTAATCATTAGATCATCATGTAACTGTCAGAAAAAGTTGATCTAACGGTTACAAACTCTGACGGAATAGTTCCGTAACGGAACCGTACCATCTTCCATAAAGATTTTTTATTGTATTGAATATTATTTAAGCTAGTTCTATATAATGATTGATCAATTGCTTATCAAATTTTAATAATAATGGTAGTTATGGTGAAAGCTCAAGTTGAGAAAATGGAATAATAATGTGTTCATGGTGGTTGATTGAGGTTGTTAACCAATTACACTTTTTAGGTGAGTTGATGTGTCTTATTGGCACACCTAACACAGCTGAAAAACCATTTTTATTTCCTTTATTTTGTTTCTTTTAAGAAAAATGCTTAGATCATAGAGATTGACCAGCAAATTAAGAGCATCATCATGTTACATTCATCACAAATAGGAGAATGCATATTAATAGTTATTGCTCTCCCCAAAAACAAAAGATATATTTAGGTACAAATTATAAGTATACTGTATACCTTTTGACTTGATGATAGAAGTTTATGATCTTGATAAATGAATATCAAGTCTAATATATCCATATCTGCATATTTTTTATCTACACAATCAAAGTTTTGAGATTAAAATGCAACTCAATTGGTCTCATATTTTTCAACTTCAACCTACACAATTATGGAATAAATTCCTAAATAGGTTGTTATAATTTCTGTCTTATAGAGGGTATGGCCAAACTTAGAAATTGTAACAAATTAACTACTATTTGTATGGAATATAAGTAATTACATTACTTTTACGAGAAATTCAACCGTGCCGATGAACGCACTTTCTGCATCGATTTTTTTTTTTGTTATATCACACACAATGTCCTCATCGATAGGGTCGGATTTTTTCAGTAAAAAAATTCAACATCTAAAAATGTTCTAAGAACAACGTATCACAAGACGTGGGAACTTAATTATGTAGACGCAAATATCGCTGCGGTTAGTTTTTTTAATTGTTGGGTAATTATAATATTTTTTTAATAGAAAAAATATACATACTTATACTATGAAATATCATTTTTAGATGAAAATTAAAAATTGAAATTAAAGTTTTCTGTAGAGGGGATGCAAAAAGGAATGATGAAAATTGGTCATTTTTTAAGTTCTCTCACGGGCTCTTCTTTCTTTATACCCTGTCAAAAGTAATAATTGCACTCGGCAAAGTAAAATATTAATTGAAAAAAAAAAGTCATCTTTTTGCTTGTGCTTTTTTTTTAAGGGGAACAGCCATTATGCTTGCTTATGGGGTTGCCTTTCATTTTACAGCACATATAGAAATTAATGTCTTGTTTGAGAGAGAGTCCAAAAGTGGAAGTGTGAAGAAAAAAAATTGTAAGTCAGTTTGCATGGCAACCATGAGTTTTTAAAAAATTCAAGATTGTCAACATATATATACACACTTTAAAAAAATTCAAGATTGTTACAGAACTTGCAAGCAAAAGGCACATTTGATGAGCCATTCTATGACTAAAAATAAATAATAATGACAAAAATAAACTAAAAATAATAAATGCTTAAAAATTAGCTATGACTAACAGCCATTCTATGATCCTAATAATTTGCCACCATTTTCTTCTTAGTATTTTCTGAAACCTACTAACAAAAGGTATTATTATTGAGATCTACAGAGTTGATTATTTTGATTTTAAACAATCACAAAGGCCTGCAACAGATTCTCTATCACAATTCACATCAGGATCATTATTTTCTAACCATACATCCAATAGGCTATATCAGCCTCAACAAACTACAGAAATACAATAGAGCAACCTCATAGTATTCAAAACAATTACCCCACATAATTCCAACCTTACACAATTTTAACCAACTTTGTGGCTCTATAAATTTGTAAGCAGCAAATGAAATGCAAGCAAAACACCCGGTCAAGATTCCGATCTAGTTGATAGTTACGATCTCGTCTTTTTTTTTTTCTTTTTTTTTTTCTTTCGTTTGATCCGAAAGAGACAAATAATCGAGCTTCTGCAAATCAGCCTAAAGATTCTCAACAGTCAGAAAACACTCTTGTTGGCCAGTCTCAATCATCAACCACCATGATGGGAAATCCCCTGATGAGAACAGGAAATTCATTAGTCTACTAACATTCATCTGACAGCAGCAAGTGCTCGTGTGTAGCGTAAATTAAACACACATTCACACACACACACACACAGAGAGAAAAAAAAAAAAAGAAAAGATGTAGAAAGATAATAAGAGCTTTCCCCAACCAAAAATATAGATTTGTAAATTGTTGAAAGTTAATCGAAATGACATGATATTTATATGATTTATATACAAAGACCGACAAAATAAAACGAGTGACCATCACATCACCTTGCAGGTTGTGTCATCTAATGACAGTACTTCAAATAACCTAACTATTTTTACAGCCAATGTGACAAGGGTGGGGCTATCTTAGTCTAATGACATGAAGGAGATGACAAGAATAACTTGTAATACAGTTAATTATAATGAGTGGTAGTTTATCGTATTTGAACATAAATTTACTGAAAGTAAGAACATAGTAGGTAATAAGTAATAACACATAGAAAGCCCATATTGCTAATGTTCAATAACTAGTGAAGAAGCATATCATCAAATAACAAAGCATCTTACCAGCCCCCGTGTCTGGAGAAGTAGTCATTATCAAGTGAAACAGCAAGTGCAACAGCTACTGCCCTCTCAGACAGAGTTAACGAACGGGTTACATTCAACTCTTGTACCTGCAAAATATGGAATTATAAATCAGGAAATTTGTGTTTGAAAAGAATATATAAAGCGAGGCCCTATGCGGTGAATTACCCCTGGAGCAGGCCCAACAACAGAGTCGGCACTCCCAAATCGAATCACGTACTGACCAGCATCAGTAAAAAGCTGCAGCACACAAATATAAACAACTCTTAACATGAAAGGGGTCTGCAGATTCCATTTTCCCAAGAAATCAATATACAGCAAAGAACCTCAAATCCAAAACCCCTCCAGTCACGATCTATTTCAGCCAACACGTTTCCATCGATGTCCTTCAATGTGAAAGTCCAGTTCCAGAAGCCAGGGTTCTCTACCACTGCAAATTGTTTATTCCTAAGACAAGAAAAGAAAGACCACAAACATCAAGTCAGAATCCAAACCCATACTCAATGATATTCTGTTTAACATACACATACTGAACAATTAGATGTAGATTGTCCTACCACCGAGCGGGTATTAGATTACTACAAATAGTATCTCAAAGAACCAAGATTAAATAATTTCCATGATTGAGGAAAAGGCCCAGAACAAGAGTGAAAGGGCGGACTAACATATATGGCCACATAATTAGATTCCATACTCCAGTGAGAAAAGGTAATGGCATTTATACCTTTAATAATAATTTTGTATCCTTATTTCACATAATGAAATTGCAAAGTCAATGATTTTGTAAATTAAAAATATTGTCATTTTATCATTGATGGATTGCATAGACAGAAAAATGTAGGCTCCTGGGAATATTACCCCAAGTACAAATCATAAATTCTTTTCCAGAGATGCCATCTTCTGTGAACAACACCAATTTCCTGATAAAAAAAAGGTGCGATATAATAAACAAAGTGAATAAATAATTTCCAGACGCACCAATAGTGTGCCAGGGTCAACATTAGGTAACAACCAAAGAAATTTTATAACCATCATACTTGTCCATTTATCTCTGCATAGATTGAACTGGTGATCCACCAAAAGGGCCTCCGAACCTACTTGGAAGCAAATTTACAAAGGTAAACCAGTTGCACCGACATCACGTCAAATGTATGCTTGTATTGGATAAACAACATGTAAAAGTTCTTACCCGAAAGAGTTCGTTACCTAATCCATCAGTTATGGATGCTATAAATGGGCGTCTTAACCGAAGCAACTGCAGAAAGCATATGAATAATCATCTCATCCAACAATACAAGAAGACTATGCAGAAAAGGAAAGGGTAAATAAAAGCTAACAGAAAAATGAAAATGACAGTTCTTTCCCCAAACATAGAAGTGCACAAATATAACAGAAGGGCAACAGTGAAATTTATGGTTAAATTACCTTAGACGATAATCTGCCGACTGCCGTGTTTTTTTTTTTTATATATATGATATGATAAGAAACACTTTGGCACCTAAAGTATGGTGGTTTTGACACTATAGGAAACAAACTTTTTTGTTACATTATTATTATATGAACCACATGAATTTTACATGTAATCATCTGAAGCACCCCATTTGTTTTTACAAGGATTCTTTCGCATGCATGTCACACCTCTTATCTGTGCACTTTTTGGGTCACTCCGGGTTCTTTTATTTCTGGGGCTAATGGTGAATGTTAGTTTACTACTTTTCCCACATACAGCAACATTACTCAATTAAGAAGTGCACAAATAAGAAATATGCCATTTGTGCACCGAACACTGAGAAATGTTTCCACAATCAAGGAGACCAGTTTACCATTTTTCCCACATAAAGCAACATTAAACTAATACGAAGTGCACAAATAAGAATCTTGCCATTTATACGCCCGACCACCGAGAAGAGCTTCCACAATCAAGGTGACCAAAGTGATAAGGTTCATAACACTGTAGTTAAGAATTTTAGATGGCAATGTACGGGGAAATAAGTTTAGCTCTGAAATGCAAATAGCAATAGTTTGTAGACCAGACTGATTTTACCCACTTTTTCCATGTGCCATTTGCTTTCTTATTCTGTTATTCAAATATCCAAAACAAGAGAATCCACGTTTTAGTTTACTACATAGATACAAAAAAAAAATAAAAAATACAGAATAACTTTAGAGTGCATTCAACCTCAACCTATATCCTAGAGTTTACTTTTCACCTTAGCCACCAAACAAGAAATTCTTGGAGTAAAAGTGTCCTTAAATCAAAACATCATAACAATGATACTGAAGTTAAGTAGATGACGATGGCATTTTACGAAAAATTTGACCAATGCTTTTTAGAGGTATGTAATGAAGTACCAAAAAACTGCAGCAAGATGAAAGACACAACCCTAAAAGTGTAATACATTCAAAGCCACACCACAAGCTAGGAAATGGAGGATTATGTTACCTGTCTTGCAATCACGTTACTCTGCTCCCGAATAAAGCCGACAGGCTGGAAAAATAACATTAAAGTAAGCTATTGCTACTTACTGCAGTACTATTCATTTTGTTTACAAGCAGTTAATGGAGAAAGACCATAGGACTATGGCCAGGAAGAAGAATCACATACTGCTTGTGGGTAGCAGACATCAACTATCGCATATCGATTTTCCTGCAAATTACAAGGAAGGACGATATAACTCACCACAATAAAGATAAACCCATAAAGGAATATAAGAAGATATATTTCAGATAATCAACAAAGAGAACAAAGAGCTATTAATGGAGTTGGAGAGTTGTACAATTTTCAAGATACTTAAAACAGTACTCTATCTTCATTTACATAATACAATAATGATCTCAGAAATATGTGTACATCCTAGAGATTGTGGTTCATGGAAGGAATAGAAATATTTGCTGAAAACTAGTTCAGAAGGATCAATAAAGCTTAAAACGTACCTGCTCAAAGCCAAGAACCAAGTTGGCCCACTCTATATCCCTGGTTATAAGCAGATTAGATCTTGCAAGAAGAGGGGCAACCTTGGACTGAAATAATTTTCAAGATAAGAAAATTTTCAATAGAAAGCATCATGATGTTTGGCTAGCAATAACTACTAATATTAGTCGTTGTCATAACAATATTAGCGTATAAATTAATAGATGTGATTGACATGCATAAAATCCCATCAGTTTCTTCCAGATCTCAATATGCATAAAAACTGTAAGTTCCTTTCGTATCAAAGGAAATGAGCTATTCATATGTTTCCCATAACTTTAACGTATATACCTCAGCTCTTGTATCATAGAATCATTTAGAAATGCTGCAATAGTTGGCTAATGTTTTATTACAAACACGAGTCCAATTCTATTATACTAAATTTGTACTGTTAAAAAGTAGATAAATCATACCAGCAAAACAAATAAACAAACAAATATGAAAAATATCACAATAAATATTGCATTAACTAAACAAAAAGTAAGAAAAACATATAAACAATAATCTCAGACGAGAGGGAAACTGCATCATCAATATAGCTGGCCTAACAAATTGCAAAAAGCAGGAAATGATTCTCTAATCAAATACTCATTCCACTTTCAAGCTCCAGATATTAACAACCGTTTATGGATGGGAATGAAAGAGCAACATAAAACATGGTCTCTCAGTCCTAGTTTCTCTATGCTTGTATCACAAAATAACTTCATCGTTCTAATTTTCCAAGGCCAAGGAAAGCCTTATGATTCTACAAACTATGATATCAAAAGTAAATTCCTATAATCATAATAAGATCATTTTGTCATTCTCTTATTAAACAATAAAGGAAAAAAAAAAATATGAGAACAAACGATGAGGTAAATTTCTAGCTGAATAGGACAATCAGGCATTCAATAAACATAAATAATGTGATGCTTTATTCCCGAATCAACCTACGGTAGCAGCTACAATGAAACAAACTCACAGCTACAATTATCCTACTGAATAACTGAGGGCCACAGGCAAATTCACCTCTTCCAAGGACATTGGTTCCAGTGTACCAGTGACAGATTGACTAGTAGGTGGTTGTTTCAGATTTGACTTAATTTTCCCATACTTCTCATTTACAACTGATGCACCTGAAAAAGATCTTTCAATAATTCCATACAGAGTCCGTCCATCAACAAGCTGTTCACTGCTGCCCCTGGATCTAAGAACTTTATGTCGTCCTTTTACAGGAGATTTTGGCTTCTTTCTATCAGCAACCCAGAGTCGTACAAAGAAATCTCTACTCAGGTCTGGATCATTTTGTGCACCATGCACATACCGTCTAGATGTAGCATTACGCCCCAACGCAGATTCTGTTAAAGGACTTGATGACTTAGACGTGATTTTTTCCAAATAGTATCCTCCAGCAGATAGAATCCCATTTTGATCCTTTTCTATTTTTGAACAATATTGAGGAGTGCTGCATCTTGATCTCTTTATAGCACAAGCCCAACCCCTGAACACGTTCATCTAACAAAAACGCATGCATAAAACAAGAAATTATTTCTGGCAATAGACATGAGTGTTGCACGATGGGAAAAATGTCATAAGCAGTAAGATTGGTAAACAAAATTTCAAAGAAGAGAAATTATCTTTACCTTGACCAATTAAGAACAAATTTCGAGCTCCAAAAAGTTACAAGAATGTCTTCTGCGTACAATAGCTTCCAGTTACCAGAACACACAAAGAAATTGAATCATGAATCGATCATTACCTAGAGCATTGAAATATAATTAGATGAAAACAAATCAAGAAGTAGTTAAACAACAAACCGCCTTACACCCTCAAGAATAGTTTCATCCTATTTCAAATACACAATCCTTTCATATTCGATAAGAAAAACAGAGGAAGTTCAAGATTGAATTGCAGAAGCAACCAAATGGTGAGAATAAACAGCTGCAACTCAACTCCCCAACACGTTAAGTGAATTTCTTACAAAAAAATGCACTAGTAAAGTACTCTGAAGGTTCACTTGTCAATAAGAAATTTCTTTCGAGTCAATTTAAATTTCGAAAGTGCCAAGAAGTTGCCTACCATCGGCCTTAAACAAAGAATTTGATACTGCATCATCTCTTGAATATGGCAATTGGTGGTACCAACGCAGATAAATGAAATTTAAAACGTTTTCGTAATTCTACAAGATTGTCCATACCCTACTCATCTTCGCAAAGAATCCTAACAAAGACTCGAAGTTTAACTCACAATATTTTCAGACCATAAAACTGATTTAAGCAACGCACATTATTGTCAAAACTACTTACGGTAGACTAACAGGATACTCGATCATTTACTCACATAGTGCACGTAAACCCCGGATTTTCGAGCAGCGACAACGAGGACCGGCAATGGGGTGATGAAGACGGTTCACGGTGGTGGTGATTGCCGGCGATAAAAGATCAGCGGTAACCTTGGCGCCGCTGTGCCATCTTCAGGTAATAGGTAAAATTGGTGGAAGAGGAGGATTTCACACGGACCAACCTTGTCGCCGTTTGGAGGATTCAGGTGACAATTGTAGGCAGCTGAAAAGGATGGTAGGGAGGAAAAGAAAATGCCGACGCCTGGCGTAGAGATGAAACTAGAATCCAAGGGAGATGATACGACGGCGATCGGCGGCGCCGGTGTCGCCGAATCTGAAACTGAAAGAGTGCAGCTAGGAGTGGGGGCTCGTGACGGTGTGAAAAAATGTAACAGTTCAGTTGAAACTCGCTAGTCACGAGTGGGGCAGTGAGGTGCCACTTTTTATTTATTTTATTTTTATTATTTTTTATAACTAAAAAACTAAAAAAAAAATATATAGGAGTGTGGAGTAACACAAGGAATCATAAAATATGAATCTACTTCCTTCAAATTCTAGATGAATCCAAGATGTATTACTCCATCAAGAAAACAACTGCTCCTACAAAACAAACTTCATAAGGAAGATGTAAACCCCATATAGAAGACTAGACTGAGACGAAGCTGGATAAATAAACCGAAAAACAAAGAAAAGCACACATTAGGAACCTTAGCAGCACATTCCACCCGAGTCAGCACACGAGCTACTCCCAACAACACAAAGATCTAACAAAGCAGCAAATCGGTGCCCTACATAGGTGTCCTGCTTGATACTCGCAAGCCGCTTGGTTCATTTGCAGCCCTAGACATTACACTTAAGATTACCACACATGGGGTTCTACTAGATTCTCGTCGGTACCCGACTATTGTTACTTCGACCCGAGCATTCGGCTTATCTCTTTCTTCATTAAGCAGTCGTATTTAGTTTCGGGCCCCTCTAGCTCAGCTCTAATTCAACACATTTATCCCAAAACATAAGATCCTATTTGGTCCAAAAACTATTATAAACAAAAACAAAATAATGTCTTAAGGCCACAGTCGACTATACAAATAAACTACTAATTAAAGACAATCGCCCGCCAAATCACTTGTCCGTAGGAAGGTCAACATCCATATCTTTTCCCTTGTCTTCGTCGCTTGCCGGAGCAACTCCTTGAATAGTCGAAGTCCTCTTTGTACGCGGAGAGGTGACATCATCAGAGGAGACCGACAAAATAATAGTTGAATATGGGTCCAATTTGCTAGTGTCTTGTTTCGAGTGTCTTGTTTTGGTTTCTAGTATTTGCTAGTGTCGGGCTTCTAGGCGGTCGTCACACCTGTCCTCCCATTTTATTCAACTTTGGGCTGTATTGCAAGTTGTATCTTTGTACATTTTTGCGTCTGTTATATAAATTCTCTATCGTTTTGGCAAAAAAAATATATATATATATATATGGGTCCAATTGATAAATCGGCACCCCACGAACATGGGGTTCAACTTTTTTCTTCAGGATCGCCTTCGCATTTTGGTCTAGTTCACTATCAAATCCAGGTGAACTCTCTTGCTAGCGTAAACACCTCTAATGAATCCAAATCCTCGTTGC